GTGTAAAGTTTAGTAAACTCTAATCCCTTATACTGATGTCACACCCTACGAAACACATTCGGAATGTAATGATGTTTGAATACGAGAAGGAAAACAATGCCTCTGTAGCCACAAAGAATATCAAAGGAGTTTATGGAAATGTTTTGAACGTTCGTAAGTGTCAACGATGGTTCAGTAAATTTCGTTCAGGTAACTTTGATGCTCTGAAGACGCTTGTTTGGTCCAACCCAAGGCAACACAATCGTGAAATGGCCCTGAAATTGCATGTCTCTCATGAAACAATAGGTAAATATCTAAGTAATATGGGAAAACTCCATAAAGAATATGTTTGGGTGTCTCACGAACTCTCCGATGATCATCATTTCCAACGTATGAACGTTGCCTCGTCTCTTCTGGCGCGTAATGCGCGTGAACTATTTTTGGACAGAATTGTCACCGGTGATTAAAAATGGATTTTCTATGCGAATATTAAAACACCGAAAAACAATAGCTCAGTCCTAGACAAAAACCACTTCCGACCCCAAAACCTGGAATCCATCCGCAGAAAGTGATGCTTTGCATTTGGTGGGACCTCAAAGGAGTATTTCATTTCGAACTCCTCAATCCACAGCGAACTGTCAATGCAGAGATCTATAGTCAGCAACTGGAACGTTTAAATCAAGCCCTTCATCAGAAACGCCCTTCACTTGTCAATCAGAAAGGTGTTCTTCTTCTCCACGACAATGCACGTCCACATGACGCAACACAAGATTATGGAGTTGGGTTGGGAAGTTCTTCCCCACCCAACATATTCTCCAGATATGGCACTATCAGATCACCATCTTTTTCGTTCGCTGCAACACCATCTTAATGGAAAGATGTATGCAAATGTGGAAGGTTTAAGAAAGACATCGACATGTTTTTTGCTTCAAAGCCAAGTGATTTCTTTAATCAGGGCATTAACAACCTGATTGTAATATCGAAAAGCACCATGGATAAGAATGGAGACTATTTCATTTAATATATGTTTTGTTTTGATATATAAGTTGTTCGGGTTTTTTCATCTAAAAAAAGAGACATTAATTTCTTGACGACCTAATACTTCCATGTAGGCCCCTTACTGGACTCGAGACAAACATTTTGTCATCTGATCTTGCTAAAAAGATGTGCATAATTTGTCAGCCCTCTAGTGGGAATATTTGTTAACTTTGCAATTGTAATTCTATCGTCGATACGTACGACAGGATGTTTCTAGCTTTGCAGTAAACTTGTGAGAATATTTAGCAGATCTGAGACAAAACCAAATAGTTATCTACTCTTAGTTAATTAATATTTATAACCATGCAGACTTCTGTCAGAAATATTTAACAGGTTAGACACAACGATCCTACCACAGCCGTTTTTCAGGGCTTACCAAAGAGTAACCACGAAGGTCATACTTGCTGATAAACTTTCTAGTGGAAATATTAACTAGATTAGGGGTATTGACCGTGTTTTTGATGACTGGTCGCCATGAAACGAGCTTTTCATTTCAGAGACAGCAATCTTCTAATTGACACCCCCCCCCTCCTTTCTGATAAAATACCGATAATCATTCTTGTGGTAATATTTACCGTGTTTGAGACAGTAATGTCGTCCTCAGTTCTTATCAGGAGATGGACAATTAAAATTAGCCATAAAGCCCTCTAGTGGATCTGAGGAGGTTTACTTGTTGGTAGATCATTGCGAAATATAAAACAATTACATATCAGGCCTAGGAAAATCATTATGTTGCAAATACATAGTAACATAATAGTAACAGACATGCAGACTTACCAGGCCAGAGACAGTGATCCTATCGTCAGTGCTTAATGGCAGTACATCTGTAGCAATATAACCTTCCAGTGCTTCAAGTAATTGAGACTGATCACACGTTGTGTGTTTACCAGCATTTATCCACCAGTTATCATCATAAACGCCCACGATGATCCACTGGTACTTTCTACCGTAGAGTCCCACACGGTAAGCCTAAAATATTGATACACTAAGACGTTAAGCACGTGCATATATAATATATTGCATTCAATTTCTTTAATCTGGATACAGTTATGCCTAAAGCGGTTCTTGGATTAAATAAATACTTTGAAACTAGGCTTATCGAACGCTAAAAAAGTTAAGTAAATTCCAACCACACAATATTTTTTCTGCTATAACAAAGTTTATAATAAGACCTATAAAAAACACTGCAATATGTTAGGCCTACTTTTAAGAATTTTGAGTAACCTTTGCGAATAATACTTTCCACATTCCTTCAACTCAATTCCTGGTAGATGGTGAAATATATAAAGGGAGTGCTACTTTTAGAGGGAAAGAGGCAAACTGCACAATTTTCAGTACAAAATATTTCCAAAAGGCATGCCTCTGGACCCCTCATTATGCCCCTGGACCCCTCATTATGGCTTCGCTACTCATTTGCTATTTTATCTTTCGTAACCTATTTTTTCATATCCACTGAAATTTGCTAGAATTTCAACAATTGATTAAGAAAACTGTGTGTTTGCAGTGATGCAACATTAAAATATTTATATAGTTGTCACGCACATGAGCAAAGGGTGCTATCGGACACTTAAATTGTTTCCTTATATAAAACAAATTTGAAAGGTGTAAAAACAGACACTAGCGTGCAGATGTCAAAGTTCAATAACTCGTAACACAATCCAAATCACCCAATGTCATAATCTTTCTCTACTGGGTTAATTTGATCTGTAAGTATTATTACTGGGTTAATCTGATTTATGTTAGTATCATTACTGGGTTAATCTGATCTGTGAAAGTATCATTATTGGGTTAATCTGATCTGTGTTAGTATCATTAATGGGTTAATCTGATTTGTGTATCATTACTGGGTTAATCTGATCTGTGAAAGTATCATTACTGGGTTAATCTGATCTGTGAAAGTATCATTATTGGGTTAATCTCATCTGTGAAAGTATCATTATTGGGTTAGTCTCATCTGTGTTAGTATCATTATTGGGTTAGTCTCATCTGTGCAAGTATCATTACTGGGTTAATCTCATCTGTGTAAGTATTATTACTGGGTTAGTCTCATCTGTGTAAGTATTATTACTGGGTTAGTCTCATCTGTGTAAGTATTATTACTGGGTTAGTCTCATCTGTGTAAGTATTATTACTGGGTTAGTCTCATCTGTGTAAGTATCATTACTGGGTTAGTCTCATCTGTGTAAGTATCATTACTGGGTTAAGCTCATCTGTGCGGGTATCATTACTGGGTTAATCTCATCTGTGCGGGTATCATTACTGGGTTAATCTCATCTGTGCGGGTATCATTACTGGGTTAATCTCATCTGTGCGGGTATCATTACTGGGTTAATCTCATCTGTGCGGGTATCATTACTGGGTTAATCTCATCTGTGCGGGTATCATTACTGGGTTAATCTCATCTGTGTGGGTATCATTACTGGGTTAATCTCATCTGTGTGGGTATCATTACTGGGTTAATCTCATCTGAACTATTCCCCAGTACGGTGTTTATAGCTATTCCCGAATACCATGTTTATAACTATTCCTCAGTATGTTGTTTATAACTATTCCACAATACCGTGTTTACAACTATCCCCCAATACGGTGTTTCTAACTATTCCCCAATACCGTGTTTCTAACTATTCCCCAAGACCGTGTTTCTAACTATTCCCAAGTATGGTGTAAACGTCACAAGTGATTAGATTAGGAAATAAACCTTACTTTATAACAAATGACCCAAATCCTCAGGAAATAAACCTTACTTTATAGCAAATGACCCTAGTCTTCGGGAAATGAACCTTACCTTGCAGCAGATGACCCAAGTCCTCAGGAAATAAACCTTACTTTTAGCAGATGGCCCTTGTCCTCAGGAAATAAACCTTACTTTATAGCAAATGACCCAAGTCCTCAGGAAATAAACCTTACTTTTAGCAAATGATCCTAGTCCTCAGGAAATAAACCTTACTTTGCAGCAGATGACCCAAGTCCTCAGGAAATAAACCTTACGTTGCAGCAGATGACCCAAGTCCTCAGGAAATAAACCTTACCTTGTAGCAGATGACCAAAGTCCTCAGGAAATAAACCTTACTTTTAACAGATGACTTTAGTTCTCAGGAAATAAACCTTACTTTATAGCAGATGACCAAAGTCCTCAGGAAATGAACCTTACTTTGCAGCAGCTGACCCAAGTCCCCAGGAAATGAACCTTACTTTATAGCAGATGACCCAAGTCCCCAGGAAATGAACCTTACTTTATAGCAGATGACCCAAGTCCCCAGGAAATGAACCTT